CCAAAAATCCAAAAAACCCTTATGTAGTAGTAGTAGTACTACTACTACTACTACTACTACTACTACTTCTACTACTTCGACTGCTGCTGCTACTACTAGTACTACTACTACTACTACTACTACTACTACTATTACTACTACTACCACTACTACTTGGACTGCTACTACAGTACTACTACGACTGTTACTGATCCCCGTTTAATTTTTTGATCCTGATTTAATTTTTTTTGATCCGTAACCCCTAGATTTTTCCCAAGCTTTGTTGCATTCCTACTGCGTTATTTTTTTTGATCCTGTTTTTAATTTTCTTTTGATCTTTGTGGTTTATTTTTTTGATCCTGATTTAATTTTTTTTTATCCCTCACCCGTTCCTTCGGGTGGGTGGTTGCAGCGGTTCTTTCTCCCGTGTGTCAGGTTTTGCATCACCTGCGCCGAGGAAACTTAGATTTCTCCTATCATCCGTCGGCTACAATTTACTCAAAACTTCCACAGTGAGATCGATGTGCATGAACAGAGCGGGACAAGGTTTTACTTGCCGGCAAATTGATCTTGCACTAGGATACATGCCTGCAGGTCCGGCATGCACTCGAGTGTTAACATAGTTTGCTTGGCATCGGCTTCGGCTTGGCTTGATTGGGGCTGCTAGATTTGATGTTGCAGAAGCACCACAAGTTGTGCGCATCATACGCCCAATCCGGACCATCTGTGAACTGCATGAAATAGCAAGTTGCAAGAGTAGGAGTTCCTTCTCGGTCCAGCTCTAGCTTCGTCACATTCAGACGCTTGTTTCAATGTTGGTATAGCTTTGGGAAGATCTTGGCTGGCAGCAGAGCTTCCAAGGCAAGTGCACGACACCCAGCAAGCTTGCTGCAGAGATTTTTCCTTGCGTGCCAGGCGCCGTGTCACACCATCCATTTCCTCATCCACGCCATGGCGCCTGCCTCGGCTGGGCAGAAAGCCGTGTACTGTACGCATCGGGGAATTTTGATGCCGAGGAAAGCTTGTTTGATTTCGCGCACGGGGCCGGTGGTTGGGCGGCTGCGAATCGTTTGGCACAGGCGACAACAAAGCGCCTGACTGCTTGGCCTCGTCCACATGTTTAGCACGGCCCTCTGCTGCTTGGAGGTTTTGCTCCAGCGACACGAGTCCTATCTGAATGGGGCGGAGCAACAGAAGGCCGAGGCCAAGTCCAAGATCTTGACGGTGAAAACAGCGACCTCTCAGGCACAGCAAATTCTTACGACCACCCAGCACAGCCGCCTTTCCGGGCGTGTGGGGACGGAGATCGCCAGCGCTCACCACTTAGTGACTGTGCAGGGCCCGTGGCTGAGAATGCTAATGTCGAGTAAAAGCAGCTGCACAGTGCAGGCATGTCCTGCCTGCAGAGCTCCAGCAGACTTCCTCGCGCTGAGTTGCGACAGTTGCCATGCCGTGCAGCGAACTTAGACATGCATAGTCTGCACAGCTAGCTCCTAGAACGTTGAAGTCTAACTTCAGGTTTGGAGTCGACTTCAGAGACCTCACTGTTTGTGATCTACGACAAGCCAAGACTTGCAGCAAAGCTGAATTAAGGCTGCCCAAGGAAAGTTGATACTGACTTGAGAACGCAGGCACCGTGTGCAGAGCAACCTTTGGACGCGGCCTCTGCATATTCGCCCACCTCGGCCCCCCTCCTGCTTTTGATATGGCTCTTGGGTGAATTCAGTTCATTTTGCAGACACAAACATTAGGCAGTGCAAAGTTGGAGCAGCCCGAGCGCAGAAGGCACGACCTGACACATGGAGCACCTGGACTGCAGAATTTCAGAGTTCGGCCGGCCCCTTGCCAGGCAAGCAGGCCTCGCGCAGCCAATCAAGTCGAAAGCTCAACGCAGCTGCACTAGTCACAAAGTGAAAGAAACTCTCATGCCTGGGCAGAAAGAAAGAGAGAGACCATGCTTGTCTTATGTCTCTCAGCTTTTGTTTTCTCATCCAGACTATGCTGGGCATGCACCGGCGCTTTGTCTTAATGCGTGTTTAGAACGCAGGAAAAGGTTTCCATATGCGAAAAATATTTAGCTGAGGCAGTCATCCTCTCGTCCATGCTTCTGCATGAGCTCTGTCTCTGTAGTTGCGTACCCCATCGTCACTGCGGTGTGGTTATTCAATCGTGCCTTAAGCTAGTTCCTTGATGGAATTGTTGTGAAACACACGTGTGTGTGTGCAGGGACATGTTCGGCGATCGACGCATCCGTCGCAGCATCTGCGGCTCTGCGTCGACGCCCCGACTTTCAGCACCCACCCTCTCCACCCTTGGCGTGGTTATTTACATATTTTATTGTTATAGACGTATGGGTCGTCGCTCGCTGGCGGGCGACGGGCCGGGAGGCAGAATGCGTCCCCCGGCGCCGTACAGCCCTGAACTGGCGAATGCGACGGACCCGGCGCGATGCGCTTCCTTCCATCCAAAA